GTGCTTCCGTGCCATGTTCATTTGTTTTGACAAGAGTTTCATGTTACGACTTTTTTCGCTTTACAAAGCGCAGGCTGTCTGCGAACTGAGACGCAGACAGCGAATTGAGAACAGTTGACGTTACTGCCTTTTGAAAACAGCCTTTGCTCACCTGCAGCGCTGGTTCGCTCTGCCGTATTTTTTCTTCTTCCCCCGTTTCAATCAAGTGGCAGTGATGACGGCGGCGGCGGATGACGCATTAATCGCGCGACACAACTAATCGATGATGAAATTCGTTGCCAACGCTTTTAAAAGTCGTTTTTTATCGATTTTATCGATTTTATCGATTCGTTGTTGCAGCCCTATTAGCAAGTTAAGCTTTGTAAATTGGTAAACTCTCTTTTAAGAGGAGGTTTCTTCCTGTTCAAAGGGAGTCTTTCCTCTCCACTGTCGCTACAAGCATGCTTAGTGTGAGGGATTGCTGAAGAGTCGATGCAATCAGCTGGTTTTCATTAGATAAAAAACTTTGATTGAATCTGATCTGGTGAACTGGAAAGAGCCTTGAGATGAGATGTATTGTGAATTGGAGCTATAGAAATAAACTGAATAGAATTGAAATGCCTCTGCAATTTGAAAATCATGTTTTCCTAAACTCCAAATGCAATAAATTGCCCAGCCCTAACAATTAAGCAGCTATTTTCTTCTTGGACTATTTCCCCCTAAATAAATGTAGGATGTTTATGGTGACGTGAGAACAAACACCGTTCCAGGTCATTGTGAGCAGAGTTTCCAGTCAGGACTGACATGTTCTTAAAGGTTGACCTTATTGCAGTGAGTTTTTTTTTCCTGGTTGTTTAGCGGACAACGTATCTCTGTATCAAGATCCATTTAGGGATAAATGGACTTTGATACGGGTTGATGGAGACCAGGCCTGCTACAAGTAGGCTTAGGGGAACTCCATCTGCCTTTTACCATCAGGAACATTTCGTCTCGCCTCCTTACGCTCTCTGGCATCCAGTGCATTAAAGTCAACCCCCATGACACTCAGAGAAGAGGCTGCAACCAGCAGCACGCCTGCTCTTTATACTTTGGGTCTCTATCTATAGGAAAGTGTCTTATCAGTGCGGGACCTCTCCTCAGCATTAACAGCAATTACCTCTCCTTGATTTAATGGAGCTGAGAGACCTGCTCCATTACTTATCCCAGCGAGGCAACCTTTCACTCCTCCCTGACTCCGCCCTCAATGCTCTGCTGGGATTCTCTCATGAGCCGCAGATGCTGCAAGACACCAGGCTGCGTACGGAGACCACCTATGAATAATTCACTCTCTGAAGGCCGGTAAAAAAAAAAAAGGCCTTCAGTTGTGTCGGTTTTTGTTGAGTCTCAGGCCCTGCTTAGCAGGTTACTTGCATACGAGTATTGACTTTTTCACCGTGCTACTTTGCTAGCAAGTCACCCCGATCACGTGACCCGTCAAATCGCGGCCTTTGCGGTTAGAAAATCTGATATATTATAGCAATTAGTTGTTCAGCCCTATTATGAATCCATATCGGGCGATTCAAAGGAAAATCGATTCTAATCGATTTTTTTTTTTTCAACCCAGTCCCAATATTTAGCTGAAACCAAATAAATCATCTTAAGGTCAGTTGAAACTTTCTATTTAAATCTGTTTTTGACATTCCTGAAGCAAACCTGTTGCTGTTTAAAGAAGCAACTTTAGTTTCAGCTCAACCTTTTAAAGACTTTTTGTGTCAGCATAGTGGATTTTGTTATCTAACATGGATTTAATAAAGGCGTGCCTAGTGTTGTTCATATAATTTCATGGTGCAGGAAACTTTATGTTGAAGCTAATGCTTATTTCACCTGCTAGCAGAGATGTTGTTCAAACTAGGGCACAACTTTTCTTACCGTTACCATATCGGGTTGAAAAGGTGAAGACTTTTATTCAGCTGTAAGAGGAAAAACGAGCAGGAAGCGGCAGTGACACAGTTGACTATGGCAGTCACTATAACTGACTGCCTGCTGCAGCGAGCGGCACAGACCTCCTGCTGCTGTGTGGACGGTGCCTGCTTCTTACAGCGACGCAAAGCTCTCCTCTGCAGCCTCCTGGGCTCTGATGGAGTTACCTAAAGTGATTCTCTCTCCATTTATTGCAGAGTGGATGTTTGGACAGCAGCCCACCTCTCAGAATGCATCTACACCGTCCTCCTGAGATGATGAAACCAGCTCACTCTATTAATCATGCAGCAGACTAGACCCGTACAGTGTAAAGATTCAATTGCAAAGTAAATGAATTAGAGGAAAGTGAATTGCTGTATTGAAGTATAGAGTCAAGCAGGAGCAGAGGAGGCGGACAGCAGGTGGTCAATACAGCAACCTGATCAAGCCCTGCAGAAAACGGTCTCAGTGGAGGTTAGGGGGGGTTCAGGAAGGCAGGGACAAGTTTGTTCTGGAAGAAAGTCCTGCTAATAGATCATCTAATGGAGAACTGGGATAGTTCCATTGAAAAACATAACTCACTATATCCACCACCAGGTTACAGAAGGAGAAACCTTTCTGAGAATACACACAGTTAACAACAAAATACACACAATTAAACATTAATAGCATTTATTAAGTGGATGGAATACAAATCTACATGAATTTTTTTTCCTACTACTATAAATGTAGATGTGAAGATGTATGGAAAGCTGTGAGCAAAAGTGCAGAAAAAAAAGAAACAAGCCTACTATATCACCAGGAGTTTCTCTGTTTCAAACGAAAAACTAAAAATTGCTGAAAACAAACATGATCCAAAAAATTTCTGTTTTAATTTTCCTCTCAAAGCCAGCAGGAGTTTGAAAACAACCTCTGGGAATCATCTGCTCTCTGCTTCATTCTATCTCTAACGTTCTGCTCTCTCTGCTTTTTCTCATAGTAGCTTCATCTGGTCTGTTCCTGTTTGGCTGTGACTCCATCCTGGAGAGAAATATCAGCTGTGCTGCTGCCATCAACACCTTTGTTTCTAGATGTTGGAGCTTGGCCTGTTTTCCAGTGTAGTCCTGTTTCTCTGACTGTCACTAACTGGATGTGCTCTCTTCATCCTCTGACATGGGAGCTGGCTCGGAGCTCGTCTGCCTGGTTGTGTGTTTCCTGGACGGGGCCGCCTGTGGAGCTGGTTGACAGTTGCCTTTTGTATCTATGCTTCTTTTTCTATGTCTGCTTCTGTCTCCTTGAACCCCAGTGGGCCTCAGCAGATGGCCGCTCACACTGAGCCTGGTTCTGCTGGAGGTTTCTTCCTGTTCAAAGGGAGTTTTTCCTCTCCACTGTCGCTACAAGCATGCTTAGTGTGAGGGATTGCTGAAGAGTCAATGAGTCGATGCAATCAGCTGGTTTTCCTTAGATAGAAAACTTTGAATCAATCTGACTGGATGATCTGGTGAACTGTAAAGAGACCTGAGATGACATGATGTGAATTGGAGCTATAGAAATAAACTGAATAGAATTGAATTCATGGGTTCTCCTCACGTTTACAGAGCAGAACCAGACTTGTCTGATGCATCAGAGAGCTGTCAGGTAACCAGATCATCTCATCATAGAGCCGCGCTGCTCAGCCAATCAGCTGATAAATGCAGTGTCTATTTTCTGGATAGAAACGGTGCAGAGGTCTAGATGTCTCATTTCTGGGGGTTTAAGTCAGATCGTAGAGCAGAGATAGTTTACTACACGCAGGACTCATAATTTAGAGGAAGAGTCCTTCATCATGTGGTTTCCTTATGTTGCTTTGAGGAACGCGTTTGTAATTGAATGTCATCTTGTTGAGCTGGTTAGAAAACCCCAGGCGGCGGTGTTGGCCGTCTCCAGGCGGCGGTGTCGGCCGTCTCCAGGCGGCGGTGTCGGCCGTCTCCAGGCGGCGGTGTCGGCCGTCTCCAGGCGGCGGTGTCGGCCGTCTCCAGGCGGCGGTGTCGGCCGTCTCCAGGCGGCGGTGTCGGCCGTCTCCAGGCGGCGGTGTCGGCCGTCTCCAGGCGGCGGTGTCGGCCGTCTCCAGGCGGCGGTGTCGGCCGTCTCCAGGCGGCGGTGTCGGCCGTCTCCAGGCGGCGGTGTCGGCCGTCTCCAGGCGGCGGTGTCGGCCGTCTCCAGGCGGCGGTGTCGGCCGTCTCCAGGCGGCGGTGTCGGCCGTCTCCAGGCTGTAATTAGCTGGACTGAGGTGAATGATGTGGAGGAGGCTAGGAATCCATCTGGGTTTGAATGACATGACCATTAGATGCTTTAAATGAAACGAGGTGAACTGTACTGCTGTCTTCATTCTGAAAACACAGATTAATTAATCTAGTAATTAGTGGCACACTTGACTTTTACTATCTAGTATAGAGGAAATATTAGAATTTCTCTACGTTGTGAAGAAATGATGATTTGTGGAAAATAAGGCCTCCCAGTGCAGCCCTGCCTCATCTGTTAATGAAACCTTCAGCCTCCAACTTTCCTCTACTTGGATCAGATCAGACCCGGCACTGAGACCTGGACAGTTTGCTGGCCTAGTCGATGAGGTCATCTGCCTTTCCTTTTTTATATACATTTTTTTATTTGCTTATGACATGAAAGGAGTGTTTTTAATGTACACAGAATATAGAATGTAACTTTTACAGGTCTGTCATGCAAAGCAGTTCATCTTTCTACATGACTTTCCAACAACCAGTATCTTTTATTAGTTTTTTTTCTTACCTTTTCTATCCATTCTCGTTTCTAGTGCTGCAACTAATGATTAGTTTGCAAATTGATTAATTTGTCAAATTTCTTTTTTTTATTTAGCTATAGAAATAAACTTAATAGAATTGAAATATATATATATATATGTATGTATATAGTGGAAATAAAATCTGTTTTCATTCTAGATGTTTTTCCTTTTTGCTGTAACGGCTTTGTCTTTTTTTAAAGTCTCTACCAGCTAACCAGGCATCTAAGTCTGGGATCTTCATGCAGGTGATTTAAAGTGAGGCGTTGGTAACTGATGATGTCACTAACGTTAACGTCTTCTGTTTTAGGGTGGAGCGCTCCACAGACCAGGTCATTAAGCCGGTGAATGTAGAGGCCTTGTCCAAATGGGTGGGGAAGATTCCAGCGGACGTGGTGAGGGACATGGCCGCCATCGCCCCCATGCTGTCTAGGCTGGGCTACGATCCACACGCCAACCCCCCCAACTACGGTCAGCCCGACCCCCACGTGTTGGACAACACCCGGAGGGTGAGTGACTCTAGTCTGGATTTGGTTTGAAGTCACATTCATTTGTGGACTGAAGTTAAACTAGGAGGTTTTTAAGTTGTTTTTTTATTTATTTTGTATTTATTTATTTTTATTATTTTGAAGCTTAAATACGTTGATGCTCTGTAGCAGAAGGGTCCGAGCAGAGCGGTCATGAATGCTACGTTCAGACCACATGCAGCAGGAGCAGCTAAACGCACGTGCTGCTTCATTTTTGATGCTTGTACCAGTTTAGTTCTGACGCGCGGCTGAAGCATCTTGCTGCTCTAGCTGCTCGGTGGTAAAGTGGGTCTGATGCGCGGTGGGCGGAGCTACCCTATCCTTTCTCTGCCTGGAACAATGGCAGCTATATTAGCTGTGATCAGCGGGTAGAAAGTAGTTAGAATCTCTGTTGAAGTGAGAAAGTCCTCCTGAAAACATGGTCTGTGCAGTCAGTTCATCCAGATTACCATCCTGCCTTCAAAGATTATTTCTCTGTGGGAGCCGCTCAGACCCCCACATACCGGCGCTGCGCTGTCACTGGGAATCCCCAGCAGCAGCTGCCTCAGGCCCGGGAGCCTCTTGACGGTTTTTTTACTATTCACGGCGGCTGGAAGGCGTTTTTCACGTATATGATCCAAACTGCAGGCACCAGGTTACATTTTTCCAACTCCAGCAGCTGCTGTCTTCGCAGCGTGTCAGGCGCCTCAGCTGCCTTGCCTTGCTGCATGTCAACCATTGGCTACCTGTAAACTAGCTGCTTCTGCTGCCTCTGCTGCTTTAGGTTTGAATGTAGCATAGTTGCTGATTAAGATCTGCTGTGCTACGTTCTGAGATCACGTGAAGGAAGCAGCAAAAGCAGCTCGTTTACATACAAAGTCAAGGCGCATAAAAAGTCCTGCGGCACATCTTCACGCATCTGAGCAGCTAAAGCAGCAGTTTGTCAGCATCTGAGGCGCTTCAGAATCAGCAGATGCTGCAGTTGGAAACATTAAATTATTGCTGCAGGACGCGCCGCATCAACCAATGAGAGAAGCTGATCTGGGAGCTGGCAGGGAGTCGGACGCAGCACTGCTGATGCAGAGCGCTATGATCACTCCTCTGAAACAGTTTATTAACGCCTAAATTAACTTCAAATGTAGAAACCTGCCGGCAGAATATGTTGGCTATTATTATCCTGCTGCCTGCAGTTTTTATTCCTGAAAATACCGATGGTGATTTTATCACCCCCCATGGTTACATGGATGACTAATATCTGCACTGATTCTGAAGTTACACGTTATTCTACATCATATTTCAGTTATTGTGTGTTTTCAGCTCTGCGTCTGTGTGCAGGCTGGTGTTTCGCTCAGCTCCTGGTTACTAAGCGGTTGTTGTGTTGGTGTTTGGTGGAGCGTTATGGGATCCTGTTAGAGGGCGAGGCTGCTGCAGATCAACCTGTTTCTTTCCTCAAGCTTTTTTCTCCATCCGCCTTCATCCAAACATGTGAACCTGCAGAAAGTTTCCAACCGTCAGGAAGTGAATCAATCACTCACTCTTTTAAAATGTAAATCCCTTTATTGTCCCACAGTGGAGAAATTCCCTCTCTGCATTTAAACCCTCCCCCTGGGGAGCAGTGGGCTGCCATTGTGCGGCACCCGGGGAGCAGGGTGGGGTTAAGGGTCTTGCTCAGGGACCCAGAGTAGAGGCCGTGGGGATTGAACCGGGGACTTGCAGCCTTCTCTGACCACAGAGCACTGCTCTGACCAATAGCCATGATAGCGGGAAGGAATCAACTCAGTTGCTGCATTGTAGGTTTTTGAAAGCTGAAATCTGAGTCAGATTTAAGGTTGGTTTTTCTTTCTTAACATAGATGGCTTCCTTCACGCCCCTCTCAAACCACCGGTCTTCTTTGTCCAAAATGTGAACAATCCCCCCTCCCCCAAAAAAATAAGTGGAGTAGAAACACCGTGCGTCTCAAATGTGAAACACAATACGACTACATAATATGGATTAACCGATCTATCTTCAAACATCGCACGACAAACAATCACAATGCACGTAAGACGGGAAACGTTAGCCTTTAGATGCAAAACCCCATCATGCATCACAACATATTTTTGCTAAATATTCAAACATAAATCCTCCAAATATCAGAGGAAAATTGTAGTTTGGTTTAAAGAAAGCATTTTAGTTTTATTCTAATTTAGTTTTTTGCAAGGATTTTTCAGTTTGAAGAAATAGAAAATGACATCATAAGCCAACCGTCACCAGGCTGAGCATGACAAGGAAGGGCTATATATACTGCATGCATCATTTAGGTAGTTAATATTGGATTATTTCTGTAGCTCCTTCAGTTATTTACTGTCACAGGTAGGAGCTTCGGCCAGAGAGGAAGTGTTGGGGCCGCTAAGATTTAAGGAGCCCTCACACGCTGAGATTAGGACCGGCCCACCGGGCAAATGGCCGCCATCACAGATTACCAACTGAGCCTGGTTGAACTGCAGACACCACTCCGCTCAGATTAGGTCTGGGTGTTTGGTCTTTAGGATGAACTAGTCTCTGTTTCAGGGTCTGTTTGGTTTGACATGTTCTGGGATTTTGTGTTTGGAGAAAATCCTCTGGAGTTTTTCAGAGAATCTGGGATGGAGATGTTTTTGCATTTAAATTCTCAGTTATGTTCTGCTGCTTGTTTTTTAGATTTCCTTCCTGATTTGACAAACTTTGAAGATCATCTTTGATGCATTTCTGTTCTTTGTTCTTTAGGCTCAAATTAAGGGTAATTATACTGAATTAAAGAAATCTTGACTTATTTCTATCAGTTTATTTCAGTGTGACACAGCAGTGTGCTGCAGATGGAAAAAGCAGCGGTGTTCCTTTAAGACGCCTCCGTCAGAGCTCCAGCTGAGATGCAGAAAGAATGTGGACTGTTTTTCTCAGCATAACCTCTCCCCCACTGGAGAGCCGTCCAAACATTTCTGGGCTCATTTCTTTGCAGGAACCAGAGCTGGCTCCAGATATCTGGATCTGTGCGTTCAGCTGTGGGGGCTTTTATCTCCCCCTGCAGACATGTCAGATGAGACGTCTTAGTTCTCAGGGGTTTTTCTCAATGAAACACGGAGCGTTTTGTTGTTTCTCAGAGATGCTGTAGCGTCTGTTTCACGGTTATTCTGTCTGTTATTTCAGAGGATAAACGATAAACGAAGCTTTAGGTTTGGTTTAACAGCTCTCTGTCCTTGAAGGCAACGTGTTTGATCAATGTAGCCCAGATGATTTATGGTTGGGTTGCTTCGTCTTGATGTTTGGCATCTTAATTGCTTTTCCATTTGTTGCACTAATCCCAGAGGAGAAGGGTGGGCAGGAGAGAAAGACTAAACTCTGTGGATTTTCCCTCAGCAGTGACCTGAGTGGAAAGTCTGTGGATTCTGAGGAGGAATCTGTTCTTTCTTCATGTTAAAGTCTGACCTCCAACAGAAGGAGATTTAAAGCACGTTTTTGTCCAGGTTGTTCTGGTTTAACTAAAACCAACAGAAAGCTTCCAGGGTTTTGGTTCTGTGTGATTTAATGAACTGGATTAGATCGTAGATGTTTTTTTCCTTGATAGCTGAAAAACACCTTGTTTTGTTTTAGTGTTTTTCTAATGTTGGGTTGCAGAAGGTCACAGGCGTAGCGCAGGAGAGTCATGGCCGTCTCCCAGCTCACTAGAACGCGAGTACGGACTCGTGTTCTCATCAAGTCTGTTCTTGAGAAGAACCCAGGAAAGTCTGGACTCTGGGAGAACAGGAGCACGCAGAATAAATCTGGGTCTATTTGAATAGAAGCGTACTGATGACATCACCATATTCAAAGCTAGTCTGGAGCTGCATTTCCCCTCCTGGTATTAATAGTCTCTAGATAATAATAAATATGACTTTTTTCATTTAGTGGAGGAATAATAATGAGCACAGTCAGATAAACACAAATCAAATGAACATTTTACCAAATAAAACAATCAAACCTCCATCAGAACCAGAGAGAGGGCCGCTGCAGACGGGTTAATGTTAGCCCTGCTCGCTGTAGACGGGCTAATGTTAGCCCTAGCCAATTCAGACGGGCTAACGTTAGCCCTGGCCAAAAAAAAGAATAAGTAAAAATAAAAATAAAGCAGGTTTCTGGTGTCAGCAGATTGAGCGTCATGTCTGCTAGGAAGTGTGTTGGTGGTGGGCGTGAACGCAGGGAGGATCCATCACTCACCTTCTGGCTCACCCTATGATGGGGATGAAGTCTGGAGGAGAACTGACGGTTTCCTCCTGTGAACCCCCTTTATACCAAAACGCTGCCAATACGCCATTATACAGTAGCTGGAAGGTAGAAACACGTTCAGCGCTCGTCTGGAACACGGCAGATACGCTGATATGTTGGAGAGAAGTTCTGGATAAGTTACGCAGAAGTTACTCAGAGGTTTAGGATCAGCTAGACGCCACGACTGATGAGGAACTGACACTGAACGGATGTCAGCCATCAGATAACTGACCTGGAAGTGATGGCCTATAGATGGCAGATGCTGGCATATGACGTACGTTAACGTGTTTCAGCGTACTTCAGCGTTCTCATAACTTATTCAACGTATGGCAGCATTTTTGCCAGATTCTTCGTACATGAGGCGTATGCTGGTCTAAATCATCAAGGTGTGACAGCGGCTTTAGGTTTTTACCTCCCAGTGGTGATTTGTCAGCAGACGGCTGTGATTGAATGATATTGTTAGTAAATTAGCTCCGTGGTTCTTCTGTTGATCAGAAGCAGCTCAGAGTTTCCCTCTGATCATTAAGCCTCTTTATACAATCAGCTCATTCCTTAAACGTTTAGTTGCTCCATTGTCTTTCAGCTGCATGTTATGTTTCCCTCTCAGCATCGTGGGGTCGGGTGTGTTAACACTCCTTCCATGTGTCTGTGGGCCTGTTGACATGTCCTACATGCAGTAAATATCTGGTCTGTTCTTGCTCTGCTCTGTAAGGCTGCTGTGTTTCTGCAGTAGAGCTGCATGG